CCCGACGGAGCCAGGGACCGAGGTCGATATGCATGGATACTGTCATTTCAGGTTATGTTGTACGTATTTTGGCTGGTGTGTATGTATGTATGTATGTATGTATAGAGAGAGAGAGAGAGAGAGAGAGAAGGAGGGAGAGAGCAAGACATGTTTCAAGTTACCACCGAACACTGAAATGTTCTGGTTTCTGGATTGGGTCTTGGGAACTGGCAGACACAGCGAGCTGCGGCAAATTCACGCCTTTGTGGGGAACCATGACCAAAGCCCAGCGGAAACCTTACGCCTTCGTGGAATCTGTGGGGTTTGAGTTGATTACCTCAGCAGCCGCCACGGCTCAGGGTTGGGGGTTTTGTCGGTTTCGTTCTCTGTGCGTCCCCTCAGCAACACCCCTTTTGTGAGTACATAGTGTTTAGAGGGGGAACGTAAAAAATAAGAGAACGCCATCACAATATCCGTGCTTTTGTTTTTGCTTAATGTGTTAGTATTTTCCTTAAGCGATGAGGATGGATAAAGAGATGCTGCACGACAGTAAAAGGTGAATGTAAGCTTTTGAGGTTTAGGGATTGATTTAAAGGTTTGGGCTTGGTAAAACGTGGAACCACACCTCGAACAATTCAAATCCCTTGGTTGTTTGCTGAAAAACCTAAGAGTTCTAAGATCAGGTCAAACCCACTTAGGCCTGTCAACATCTTTCTCATTTTCAAAAGCTATTGCTGCACGTTCCTTCTTGTTTTCTCGCACCCTGAAAGGTTCAGGAAGCTCCAGAGGCGAAGCCTTCAAGGGACCAGCGTCTACAGCAGCTGGGTTTGAAACGAGCAAGGGTGAGTGGCGATGGACATTGCCAGTTTCATGCACTTGGCATGCCTGTGGGCCAGGGCAACGAAGAGGTGCGTCAGAACGCAGTCAAGTGGATTCAAAATCATCGCGAGAAGTTCGAACATTTGGATTTCAATGGAAAAGTGAAGAGACTGGCAGTGAGTACCGATGGTGATGATATAGAATGGGGAAACCACGACACACTGCTGCCCTTGGCCCAGCACTATGCCCGATCCATTCATGTCTTCCACGACAGCGCGGAGATGTTCATCCCATCTGATCCCAGCGGACATGAGATCTACTTCAGTTATGAACAGCCAAACGTCCAGCGTGACCTCCACCCATATGATCCCAGCGGTCGGACCATCTACGCCATCTTGACTGGGCAGCTCCACTATGATGCCGCTGTTCCGGTGGCTCGGACTCTTTCGGACTTGGAGTGTATAGGTAGTTTTACGTGGCTATAGGTAATTAACTCAGTCAGTCATGGTCTTCTTCAAAAGAATTGTTGTTCCCGAATGCGTAGCAAATTACAGGCCTAAGTGGCTGAGTCTCTGGAGTCAGTTCGTGGTCGTAATTAACTTAAGTCTTTGCCCCTGATCGACGGAATTAACTTATGTCTTTGGGCTAAACACACAAACACACGCAAACATACACACACACACATACACATACACAGACATGCTAGGCTGTATAATTTCTTGAGTTCACTTGGATGGCCAAAGTCCCAGGACCTAGATACCCATCCCAAAACGTAAATCCAGACCCAAACCTCCAAACCTTAAGTAACACTATAAACCCTATAAACCTACGCTTTAAAAGATCTGCGCAACCCTCGTTGCCCTTTCCCTATTCCGGTCCAAGTGGCGGCTGAGGACCAGGGCAGCCCGAAGGAGGCGTCGCTTGTTTTTTTGTTTTTGGTCTATGTTTTCCAGGGCATGGTTTTTGTCGCTTTAACTATTTGTGTTTTTTCTGTCTTCGAATCTTTTGTTGTGTTTGTCATCCGCTCCTGGTTTTCTTGTTTCCTGTCTGTGTCATGCTCAGCTTCCCTTTGTTTTGGTTCACGCGGAGGTCCTTTCAAGAACTTTTGTGACCGCTGCTTTCAAGGTTCAAAAATTGAAGAAGGTGTTTGAGGATAGGGGCTCTAAGTGCTGCTATGTGATTCTTGCTTTTGCCGTGTCTCAACTTTGGGCTGCTTTTGTGTTATTGCTTTCTCTTCAGATTGGTTTGTGCTGGTGGCCGTCACTGAAGCATTAGTACATATAAGGTTTTGGGTTTCTGGCTTAGGGTAGCGGTCTGTGTCTGTGTGGGTGCCTGTGTCTGTCTGTCTGCCTGTCTGACTGCCTGTCTGTCTCTGTCTGTCTGTGTCTGTCTGTCTGTGTTTGTCTGTCTGTGTCTGTCCGTTTCTGTCCGTCCGCTTCTGTCTGTCTGTTTCTGTCTGTCTGTGTTTATGTCTGTCTACTTCTGTCTGGAGGCTGAGAAGGCCCGCGCTGAGGCCGAGGCATCCGAGGCCAAGGCGAAAAACGCTGAGGAGCAGCGCAAGGCCGCAGAGGCCAAGAAGAAGGCAAAAGCCCAACAGAACCGCGCTGATGCCGAGGCCAAGAAAAGGGAACCCGAGGAGCAGCGCAAGGCCTCAGAGGCCAAAAAGCAGGAGAAGGCCCGCGCAGAGGCCCGTGCCGAGGCCGAGCAGTGCAGGGCCGAAGAAGCCAAAAAGCAGGAGGAGGCTGAAAAGGCCCACGCTGAGGCCGAGCCAAGAAGAAGAACGCCCAGGAGCAGCACAAGAAGAAGGACGCCCAGGACCAGCGCAAGAAGAAGGAAGTCATGGTGGGGCTCCAGGCCGCAGAGGCCAGGACAAAGAAGATGGCTGAAAAGGCCAAAAAGACGGAAGCCGAGGAGCAGCGCAAGGCCTCAGAGCCCACGGAGAAGGAGGAGGCTGAGAAGGCCCGCGCTGAGGAAACAAGCCGAGGAGTAGCACAAGGCTGAAGAGACCAAAAAAGAGGAGGAGGCTGAAAAGGCCCGCGCTGAGGCCGAGGCATTGCTTGCTCTTCTGACCTCCAAGGACGGGAACAGTTGGTGGTGTGAGGTTTCGGGGGTCTAAAGTTAAGAGTTTATTGTAATCGCTGACGCGCCATCCACCTCGGGTTTAGGGTTCAGAGTTTGAGTTTGGGGCTTGGGTTTTAGAATATGGGTTCTAGGGGTTTAGGGTTTCGGGTTCAGGCCGCATAATATGGGAACCCGTTCGTTCGCCCCCATTTCCATCGGTCTCGTGGGAGTGGCGAAGTGCTGACGGATACCGACGATCGCACAGAATTCCTGCATTAAAGCGTTGCGGAACTCCTGGCCACAATCCGTTCTTAACAGCTTCGGGAGGGTCCTAGATCTGAAGATTAATCTCGAGAAGGCCCTCCTCACTTCAGAGTGGGAGAGGTCCTTCAACGTTTCCAACATCACTGAATGCGACAAGGGGTTCGCCTATCGCTTGTGTCTTTTTTTGTTGTGTCGCTTGTGTCTTTTTTTTGTGTCGCTAGTGTCTTCTTTTCTGTCTTTTTTGTAGTCGTGTCGCTTGTGTCTTTTTTTGGTGTGTCGCTTGTGTCTTTTTTGTTTGTGTCGCTTGTGTCTTTTTTATTTGTGTCGCTTGTGTCTTTTTTAGTTGTGTCGCTTGTGTCTTTTTTATTTGTGTCGCTTGTGTCTTTTTTATTTGTGTCGCTTGTGTCTTTTTTTGTTCATTGTCCTTTTCGCCCTAGAGGGAAAGCCTAAAGCTCCGAACCCCTAAAGGTTCAACCCTAAACCCTGAACCCTGAACCCCTCATGTCGCTTGTGTCTACTTGTTTGTCCGTCTCGCTTGTGTCTTTCTTTTCTTCGGTGTGTCGCTTGTGTCGTTTTTGCTTGTGTCGCTTGTGTCTTTTTGGTTGTGTCGCTTGTGTCTTTTTTATGTGTGTCGCTTGTGTCTTTTTTGTTTGTGTCGCTTGTGTCTTTTTTTGGTGTGTCGCTTGTGTCTTTGTTGTTTGTGTCTCTTGTGTCTTTTTTCTTTGTGTCGCTTGTGTCTTCTTTTTGTGTCGCTTGTGTCTTATCTTACACTTATGCATGTTCCACAGTAAGCAAACTGCTTTAAGAGGGGTGGGGTTTTATTTCACTTTGACTCCAAGCCCAGACAACCCAGAGCAATCTGTTTTAAGAGGGGGTGGGATGTTATGCTACATGTATGCATGTTCCACAGTAAGCAAACTGCTCTAAGAGGGGTGGGGGTTATTTTACTTTGACTCCAACTTCAGGCAACCCAAAGCAATCTGCTTTAAGAGGAGGGGGGCTTTTATTTTACTTTGACTCCAAGTCCAGACAACCCAGAGCAATCTGTTTTAAGAGGGGGTGGGGTGTTATCCTACATGTATGCATTTCGCAGTAAGCAATCTGCTTTAAAAGTGGTGGGGTTTTATTCTTACTTTGACTCCAACTCCAGACAACTCAAAGCAAACTGTTTTAAGAGGGGCGGGGGTTTTGGTTTTACTTTGACTCCAAGTCCAGACAACCCAGAGCAATCTGTTTTAAGAGGGGGTGGGGTGTTATCTTACATGTATGCATGTTCCACACTTGACTCCAATTCCAGACAACCCAGAGCAATCTGTTTTAAGAGGGGGTGGGTTATTATCTTACATGTATGCATGTTCCGCAGTAAGCAATCTGCTTTAAGAGGGGTGGGGCTTTATTTTGACTTTGATTCCAACTCCAGACAACCCAGAGCAAACTGTTTTAAGAGAAGGCGGGGGTTTTTGTTTTACTTTGACTCCAAGTCCAGACAACCCAGAGCAATCTGTTTTAAGAGGGGGTGGGGTGTTATCTTACATTTATGCATGTTCCACAAACGGGGGTGGGGGAGTTGTCTTTAATTCCAAGTGGTCCAGACCTTAAAAAAGACGCAAGTGACACAAAAAAAAAGATGCAAGTGACAAGCGGCCGGCCCTGCGCGCACCCCTGGACCAGGCATCCCCTGGAAGGGTTGGCCGAACAGGCCCAAAAAAAGACGCACGTGACACAAAAAAAAGACGCAAGTGACACAAATAAAAAGACGCAAGTGACGCAAATAAAAAAGACGCAAGTGACAGCTGAGCCCGACAAGGCGTCCAAGTAGGAGAGGATAAACCGGTTCCCTTGGGCATCGGCCGGCAACATAGGACCCTCGCAGTCCGTAGACACCTCCTCCCAGCACTGCAACTCGGTCGGTTTCGAGGCGACCGCCTCCGTCTTGACGGCTCGTTTTCTTCCTTTCAGACACGTCAAGCAGTGCTCGGCGAACCTCTCGCAATCTGCAGCGATGTCTTTCCACCAACAGATCTTCAGGAGCAAGGCGGCGGTTTTCTTACCAGAACGGTGGGCTCCCATGATCCCTACATGGCCGTAGCGAAACACCCACTCACGCCAGGATTTTGGCACGACGGGCCGCCACGTAGCGGGCCCATCCTCCTCCCAAAGGCGTCGTTCCAGCACCCCATCCTCGGCAAGACGGTACTCTCCGCTGACCTTGTCTGAGCTCCGCTCGCAGTCAGCGACCAACTGCCGTAATCCGTCTTCGCGTCGCTGCTCTTCCTTCCACTGCGACCGAAGATCTCCCGACCACGCTGGCGGCCCGTACTCGCCGATCTCTTCTTGGTTCGCGCGCCTCACCCTGAACCAAGTCTCGAGCTCCCTCTCTCGAGCCTCCCGTGCTTCTTGCACGTCCGGGGAAGACCTTTTCAACGAGGCCTCCTCCGTCGCGACCTCCGGCCTCACCGGGCTGGCCTGCTTAGCCTTGCCTGGCTCCCAGAGATTCAGCGATAAGGGCGCGGAGAGGCGTGAAAGCACGACCTTCTCCCGCGCTACCTTTCGCCGACGGAAGGTGAAGATAATCCTCCCTTCGATCCTCAGGCGTCCTTCCTCACGAAGGCCCCCGACCTCGAAGCTCCACCTTTCCATAGACTTCTCGAACCAGATGCCCTTGACATCGGTATCTCCCTCCACTCTCTCCCAGTGCACCGCTTGCGCCGGAAAATAGTGCATGAGGACGTAGAAAAGGAGAGAAGAAACTCCCTTCGTCCGCTCTTCACGGCCATCAAAGGTGCCCTAACGAAGGTCTTCAGGTCCAAGGCGGCCTGGCCTTCAAGGCCGTACACCGTGACGAACTTCGAAGCGGCCCATCCCGCCGGCTTCGGAAGCAGCAAGGTGTCACCTTCCTTCCAATGGACCGGTAACCGGACATAGTTGGCCGGAAGCGGCTCCGGGGCTGAAAACAGCTCTCGGAGCCCGCTCGCGGTCAACTCCGATGCCGGCGGTGCCGAAGAAAACTTCAGCACCGAAACCGACAAAGCCTTCTCCTCCTTTACTTCTTCCGCAACTCGACTCAACTCCTTCTCTTCCTCCCGCATACAGCGAAAGCACTGCCCGAACAACATGGTCCGTTTCCCGCACATGCAAGAGCCAGAGTGCTCCCACATATCCCTTCTCGGGCCGTCTAACCACGACGTCCAAACCACATCGTCCAAACTTTTCACGACAGATGCCTTAATCGCCGCAGCGAACCCCGCTATTTCTTCCTTCTTCGGGGTTCCCGGCGGTACAACCGCCAAGAGGGGAAGATCCGAGACGGGGCAAGGCTCCAGGAACTCAGGACAAGCTTCAAGCAACAGGTCTGCACCTGGCTTCGCCGTCCCTAGCCTGGGCCTTTCTGCCACCAACAGCTTCAGCGCTCCCCAACTCAGGGCAATGTCGCGGCCCTCCTCCGGCCTCACGTTTCTCGCCAAGAGGATACTTTCTACCGCGACGGGCTTAGCGAGGGCTGCAACTACAGCCCCGCCCTGGCCCTCCCCGATGAGGAAAGCTGGCTTGTGGAACGCCGCGTCTCGTAGCACCTTCACGACGCTCGTAAAAAGGTCGACGCGAGTCGCGTTGGCGAGCTTCTTTCCCGTAAGCTTCGCCTTTCCTTGCCGCTCGAAGTGCGCGAGATTTCCCTCAAAGTCTTCAAACGGCGGCTCCTGCAGGACAATCCGGACCTCCCAAGCGGTCCCGAACGAGTCGCGCAAACGGCGCATCAAGCTCGAGGTCATCGTCATCCGCTCGGCCGGTCTGCAGTAGCCTGGCACATAAAGCACCTTAAGCGTCGGCAAAACTCCGGCTCCCTTCATCATCCCGGCCAGCACCGACGTACTAATCGCGGCGGCTTCCTCCTGCGCGCCAAGGGGTGGGATATCTTTTCTGGAGTTTTAGGATTTTTCCCCACCTCCTCGGCCGCGGCGGGAGGGAGCTGCGCGAGCGGCGTCGCTGCTTCAGCTCCGTCCGACAAAATAAACGACCACGGAATCACTCTTCCTTCGCCCTCGTCGTCCAGATATTCTCCGAGCGAGAAGCCCCTCAACTGGCCCACAAGACCTTCCAGGTCCCGCGTCCTTTGCGCCAGGAGGGCATCCCGATTCTCCGGGTTCCTGGAGAGACCATCCGCTAACTTGGCGGACCTCCCGGAAAGGGACCGAAGCTGGCTCCCATCAGCAAGGAGCTCCGACAACCATCGGCTTAGGCTCGATTTCCTAGGCCCCTTGCAACCTCGTCAGGTTAGGATGGTCGGTCCATAGGATACTTCTCATCGGACCAAGCATGCCCTTTATCGCGCGTCTTGTGTCCAATTGCGCGAAGCCTTCAAGGCTCAGAGGTGCCCACGCCTGTTGGGCAGGCGTAAGCCCACGGCTATGGGTAGCCAGGACGTTAAAAGCAGACAAGCACTCCTTCATCTGGAGCGCGACTCCGCCCACAGCATAACCGCCCGAATCCGCGATCTGCTCCAGGGGTCTCGTCCCGTCGATCGCCGCCGCTTCGTCGAGGATAGACAACTCCACCGACCTTTGGCACATCAGCTTTCACATACTCACCCAGTATCTTCGCACAGTGGCTGTACTGAGGCGGCGTGTAAAACCTCAGGAAGTTCGTGCGCCCCAGGAATTGCTGCACGTGCAGTTTCTCCCGCAACGGCGGGAAGGCTGTCACAGCCTTCGTCTTGTCCTCCTGGACCCGGAGCCCGTTTCTTCCGACTCGGTGCCCAAGCAGGCTTCCTTCCGTAACTGCAAGGCAGGCTTTCTCCAACCCGTAAGACATCCCGCTCTGGATGCTCCGGTCGAAGAACGCTTCCAACTCGACAACATGGTCGATGAGGAAAGGGTCGGCCTTCGGGTGCCGCTTCCCCATATCCTCTCTCAAAGCTGCGTAGTAGGCATCAGTCGGGCTCCTCTCGGCCAGTTCATCGATCGCACCCGGTGTCTCTATCACATGGAACAGCGAGTCCGCAACCAACGCCGCCGAGAGGCACGCCATCATTCCAGCGACGGCGGCCCCCTTTGCCTTCAACTTCGGCGCTCCGCCGGGGCCGGAAGTCCAACCTCCCGACGCGAGCACGCTGCCATTTGCGCGACCGTCCTGCCCCCCCCTGCCTCCGGTTACCTCGGGCATACTTTTCGGCCCGGAAGTCCAGACGACATTTGGAGCAGCCGGCGAAACTTCCTTGCACCGCTTCGCTTCCGCAGCGGACACACAAAGGTTCCACCACGGGCGGCAGCGCCGTTCCGCACGAGCAAAGCTCAGCCTCGCTCCCTTCTTCGGGAAGCCAGCGCTCAGCGTCCACGTGGCCGCAGGCAGGGCGCCACCTCTGCACTCCTGCTGCCTTCCGCACCAAGGTCGCCACAGGCGTCCCCAGCTCCAGGTCCACGCGCGACTCTGCTTCCACGAAGATACAGGAGTCGTCTCCTCCCCAAATCCCGGAGTTGCTCGAAAACCGGCCTCCGCGGAACCGTAAGGGAAAACGTACCCCGCACTTTCAGCACGTTCGGGCGCCGGTTCGGCGGGAAGCCCGGCTCGAGCCACGCGAACCCAGCCGCCGACGTCTTCAGGCTCAAGAGGGCACGGCTCCGCGCAGACTAGCACCTCACCGTCCTCCTTGCAACTGTACCCGAACTCTTTTTCCGTCCCAGACTTCTTCGAAGGTCGAGACGACGCTGTCAACGAAGGGGTAGGCCTTGTCCTCAAAAGGCTCAATCTCCTCCCGTCTCGGCAAGAGAATGCCCACGCCTTCCAGCACATGCGCCATAGGGCTGGCGCGATAGCCCAGGCCTCCTCGGTCAGGATGGTCCAGAGCCCGGCCGCCTAGTATCAAACCGTGCCAAGAGCTCGTCCCAGCGGCGAGCACCTTAGCCCGCGCGAGAATTTCCTTGCTCTTGCTTCCCGAGATGTCTTCCAGCTTGACCCGAAGGACCACCCCGCCCCGGAGCCCTATAGGCTTGTCCTTGGCAAGGCCCGTCACCACCTCATCCTGAGGCCACTTTTCCAACTGGACCAAAGGAAAGTTCGGGTCGCTGGGCTTCATCCCGTCCCAAAGTGCCTTTGAAAGCAGCCTGCACACCATTTCTTCGGTGCAGCTGTTACACCCAGCACACGTATCCAGCGTCGTCGGGACCAACTTCCCGTAGACGCTGACCTCCGTCCGACACTGGTAACCGCCAGGCTCGGCAAAACGCACTTCCTTTTTCAGAATCCCCACTATCTCCGTAGCCGCGTTGTTACACGCGCCCGGGACAATACTGGACTCCGAACAGGCAAACGGATTCTCGCAACCGTTGCCGCCTTTTCCTTGGCCAAGGCCAGCCGGTCCGTCCATCGTAGACAGCTGAACCCCAGGAGCAGCGCTTCTGCCGCCCCCCTTAGGATCCTTGCCGCCTTTCCTCTTCTCAGGTGGCTGGTCCTTCTGCTTGTGGCTATACTCGCAGCAATCACCCTTCGAGCAACCGTGCTTCGAGTTCAAGAAACGGCAAGGGAGGTGCTTCTTGTCCTTTCCTTTTCCTTTCCCCTTGCTCGGGGTACGGGCTCGGGCGCCAGCTACAGCCCCTACTTCCGTACTTCGTCCCCGTTCCGCTTCCTTCTTAGCCTTCCTGGCTTCCTCAACCAAGCGGCGGTCGTGCGAGTAGCGGCATTTGTCGCCGTGCTTGCACGACCCATGGTCCCGCATGTTGTAGCAGACCTTCTGTCCCATGCTAGCGGAAGCCTGAGCATTAGCAGCGTCGAGCTGCTTCTGCTACTTTCTGCCTTCTCGAGCTTCTCGGCCTTAGCCAGCAGCTTCTTCTGCTTGGCCGTCCCGGGGACGCATTAGCGTCCTCCAAGCCGCGAAAGGTCGAGAAACTCGTGTTGTGAAGTGCCTTCAGCCCAGCCTTCATAGACTCGTATTCCTTGAGCACTTCGTGAGCTTCTTCCCAAGTAGCACAGCTCCGAAAGACCGTACCACCCGAGCCATCGCTTCGATACCTCTTGTCCCGTCGAATCTCATTAGAGAGCTTCGGGCCCACCTTCTTGAGGTACTGCAACAGTGACTCACGCGCCGTCATTCCAAGTCCTACGGCTTCGCGCTCCGACAGCCGCTCCTCCCAAACGGTCTCCCACTGGTGAGCGGTCAGTCGCCCCTTGGACAACTGGTCCCAAGCTTCCAAAACCCTCAACTCACGCTCCTCCTGAGACTCCGAGAACATCAGGTGCTTCAGCTTGATCTCCTGGTACACTTTGCCAGGGTCAGACTTCACCGTCCCGTTACTCAGGCCGCGCTTGTAAAGCAGGTCATACGACTTCAGGCGGTGCTGCCGCAAGCACGCCCGGAGGGTTATCAGCACTTCAAGGTCTGACATTCCCTGCCCGTCATTGGCTAAGTGGACCGTCGACTCAAACTGGTCGTAAAAGTCCATCACCGACTTGTGGTCAGTGAAATCATCATCCAACGCAGGCCAGGTCACTTTGGGCGAAATCTGGATAGTCGACCGAGGTCTCTCTCTCCCCTTCGACTTCTCCAGCGCAGCCGCTACGGCCTTAGTCTGATCCGCCAAAGAAGCGAGCAGCCCATCCGTACTACCTGACGGAGGGGGCGCAGCCATAGCGCCGCTAAGGAAAGGCACCGCGGCTGAGCTTCCCGGAACGAAGCTCGGCGCGGGAAACTTCGCCTTAGCGGTCGTCCCTTCTACCCTCTCGGCGTGGTCCGGCATAGGAACGTCCTTGGCAGGCGAGGGCTCAGAGGAACTGAAGAGTTTCTCTCTGACGCCGCTCAACTTGCCACCGCGTTCTTCTACCATCGCGAGGAGTGTCGATAGCCTGACTTCTCTCTCCTCCTCGCCGTCCGTGCCATCTACAAGCTCTTGCGCAAACCGTTGCTTCAGCTGCCTCAGTTGCTCTTCCGGCTCGAGGCCCTTTACGCTATCCAGAAGTTCCGCCCTCATATTAAGGGCCGCGATACGGTTCGCTCTCCGGACATCTCCAAAGCCTCGGCTACCCGAGCAACCTTCGTCTGGTAACCTTCGAGCGTCTCCTTCGTCGGTTCATACGGCTCGTCCAGCTTCCTTCTCAGCTGGTCGACCACCGTACCACCACCCGACGCCATCGAAGTAGCTGCAGAAATTCCTCCTCCGTCCCGAAGACGCCGGAGCCGCACTTCCAGCTCCCGGCCGGGCGACCCCGGAGGATCCGCACCAAGCCGCGGCGCCTCAGGAACAAGTTCTTCTTCGTCATCCGTACGTTCCTGCTCCGCTACCTCTGCTTCCTGCTCGTCTAAGGCATCCCGCCAGCCTTCGCCGTGGTGCCTTTCCATCTGAGCCTTCCAAAGCGCTGACTCTTCCCGGCTGGTCGTCCCGATGGCATCCCCCTTTCCTTTCGTAGGTCGCTTGCCCGGTCCGGCTCTCCAGCTCTGCCAACCATTGACACTTAACAGCGGAGGTTTGGGGATTAACCCTTCTTCCACTGCCTGCTCAAACGGCTTGTCGGTCCCACTGACTTCTCGGCCAGCCATTGCCATTGCTTCCGTATCGCCGACCGGTCGCGGTACGCAGCTCGGTCGCGCGACACCAAACAACAACAATCAAGGGACTTCCCAGAACAGCCCCCAACTGCGGTGTTTGAATCCCTGTAAGCACTCGGGCTGAAGTCTAGGCTTAGCGTTGCAGCAGAGCCGTTGCCTTTTTCCCGCTCACGAGGGCACACGCTCAACAAAACAAACAGTTCACCTATGCATGACTAAGGTAGGAAGGCCTGGCTCACAACCTTCACACCCCACACACACCCCCACACACCCCCCCACACACCCCCACACACCCCTACACACCCCTACACCCCCCTACACCCCTACACACCCTTACACACCCCAACACACCCCTACACACCCCTACGCACCCCTACACACCCCTACACCCTCCACCCTCCTAAACCCCCCTACACCCCTACACCCCTACACCCCTACACACCCCTACACCCCTACACACCCCTACACCCTACATACCTACACACCTACACACCTACACACCTACACACACACACCACACACACACACACATAAACATACACACACACACACATATATATATATATATGGGAGAGGGTTCTTTAGGGTTTATTTGGCTCGGTAGATATCGAAGTATTTGAATCATTTGAATTATTTGAGTTCACGGGCCCATTTGTGAATTCAAATAATTCAAATAATTCAAATCAGGGGGGGAGGGATTTGAATTATTTGAATTCACGGGCCCATTTGTGAATTCAAATAATTCAAATAATTCAAATCAAGGGGGGGGAGGGATTTGAATTATTTGAATTCACGGGCCCATTTGTGAATTCAAATAATTCAAATCAAGGGGGGGGATTGGAATTATTTGAATTCACGGGCCCTTCAAATAATTCAAATAATTCAAACAATTCAAATCAGGGGGGGAGGGGATTTGAATTATTTGAATTCACGGGCCTATTTGTGAATTCAAATAATTCAAATAATTCAAATCAGGGGGGGAGGGGATTTGAATTATTTAAATTCACAAATGGGCCCGTGAATTCAAAGAATTCAAATCCCTGATTTGAATTATTTAAATTATTTGAATTCTCAAATGGGGGTGGGGGGGGAGGGGGATTTGAATTATTTGACTTCACGGGCCCATTTGTGAATTCAAATAATTCAAATCCAGGGGGGGGGAGGGATTTGAATTATTTGAATTCACGGGCGCATTTGTGAATTCAAATAATTCAAATCAGGGGGGAAGGGATTTGAATTATTTGAATTCACGGGCCTATTTGTGAATTCAAATAATTCAAATAATTCAAATCCCTGATTTGAATTATTTGAATTTTTAGAATTATTTGAATTCACAAATGGGCCTGTGAATTCAAATAATTCAAATAATTGAAATCCCTGATTTGAATTATTTGAAT